GGGGGGGGCTCCTGCCAAGCAGGGCTTCTCACTGGCCACTGGATATCTGATTGGCACGCACTGTTGGTTTTATTCTGTCTCATACTATTCTTTCCTATTCTGTTTTTTAAAATTACTTCTCTTGTCCCCTGTGTGTTTGTCTCCGCTTTTTACAGCAGGCACTTGGTGGCCGTGCTCACCACTCTGGGTCAGAATTCCACAGGTGCTCATGGGCTCAAAAAGGTCAGGGGCCCCTGCAATAGATTAATATGGCTACCCCTCTGGAAGGTTCAAAATCAGCCAGACGAACCGTTTCTCATGCAGCCCAGGCGAAGCAAGAAGATACCTTTTGAAGTCTGATGGAATAGAAAGGCTAATCCTGAGCAGTGTTCCCTCTAAGCTGAGTTAATGTGAGCTAGCTCACAGTTTTTTTAGCCTCCGGCTCACACATTTTTGTCTTAGCTCAGGAAGGGAGAGCTCCAGAGCAAACTAATTTATGCAGTAGCCAAATGGCTCGCTCACAACTATAAAGCCAGTAGCTCACAAAGTAGAATTTTTGCTCACAAGACTCCACAGCTTAGAGGGAACATTGATCCTGAGCAAATTTTTACCTCTGAGTAGGCACCAGCAATGCTCCCTCTAAGCTATGGAGTCTTGAGTGCAAAAATTCTACTTTGTGAGCTACTGGCATTAAAGTTGTGTTTGGTGTAGTGGTTAAGTGCGCGGACTCTAATCTGGGAGAATCGGGTTTGATTCCCCACTCCTACTTGCACCTGGGCTGGATGACCTTGGGCAAGCCGTAGTTCTGATAAGAGCTGTCCTTGAAAAAGAGCAGTTTCTGTCAGAGCTCTCTCAGACCCACCTACTTCACAGGGTGTCTGTTGTGGGGAGGGGAAGGGAAAGGAGTTTGTAAGCCGCTCTGAGACACCTTTGGGTAGTGAAGGGCGGGGATATGAATCCAATCTCTTCTTCTTCTACTGCATAAATTAGCTTGCTCTGGAGCCATCCTTCCTGAGCGAAGACAAAAATGTGTGAGCCAGAGGCTAAAAAACTGTGAGCTAGCTCACACTAACTCAGCTTAGAGAGAATACTGAGCACCAGTGACCTCAGTGGGACTGACCTACTCCATCTGGGCTGTATCAGGGTTATGTTTCCTGAGTAACTTTCATTCCATGGGCATACAGCATCCGCTCACAGTGTATAGCAGTAGTTAAAAGGGCATGATCTGGGGCCTTATATGATACAAGGTTCCTGTGATACGGGAGCAGAGCTTCCCAGGGAATTATTTGCATGGTGATTGTACAAGTTGTGTGCCTCTTTATTAAAATTTCTGTAGGGATGCTCCATGACCAGGGCTTTTTTGGTAGAAAAAGCCCATCAGGGACTCATTAGCATAATAGGCCACACCCAACAGCAGAAACGTATTAGCATATTAGGCCACACCCCCAAACATCCCCTTGGCTTGCCCGGGCGCCCTGCAGCTGTGGGGAACCCAGGCAAGCCGGCCCTTGGACAGGCTGGGGAAGGCATTTAAATGCCTCCCCTATCCTTCCAGGGGGCAGCCTGGCCACCCTGCCTCGGAGTCGCCGGGAGGGGTGGCTCTCCAGGCCTTTCCTCTGTAGTCACGCATACACAGAGGTTTTAGCTGTAGTGGGTGTGGCCAACTCTGAATCCAGCCGGAACTCTGTTCCTTTGCGTTCCTGCCCAAAAATAGCCCTGTCCATGACTACATAGAGAGTCTTCTGAGCGTGAAGGTTTGTGGCTTTGAATGAAAATGTAGTGCAAATATTTATCACAATGTGTGTCTGTTTCAGAGGACCCAGCACCCAAACCTGTTCCTGCCGCTTCGAATGCAACAAGTAAGTCTCATGACAGCCCATCCTCTTCTCTTCCTCAGAGGCAAGATTTTCCCTCCCTTTTTCTTTCCTTTTCTGACTGAGCAGCCCTAGTGGTGTGTTTTCTTCTTTCCTGAAGAACTCCAACTGTCCCACTCTGTCTCAATATGGTATTTTAACTGCTGACTCAGCCCAGGAACCTGAGGGAAGGGTCAGGATCTCCCTTTATCTTAAACCATTGAAAAGGGCACTTGAGATGTTTTGAAGTTAAAAAATAACAAAATATTTTATTCAATATAGAGGGGAAAGTTCAGGTGAAATCAGGGGTTGATATTTCTGAGGTAACTCAATATAGATAACTCAGAGGTAAAACCAGTACATGCACAGGCTTTATTTTTTTTTAAATTTCAGGCTAAAGAGAGTTTCTTAAGCTATTCACAGTTACTTAAATCTTTGTGAGAGGCTTTTGTTCCAGTGTTTCCCCCAAACACTCCAGTACACTTCCTTTGTGTATTCTCTGACCCTTTTGGTTTCCAGAAGGCTGGTGCAGTCTTTCCAGTACCCAAACCCCTTCTCTTGAAACACCAGTACTTGTCTTGAATTTTTAACTGACTCTTAAGGTCTCTAAAGGCAGTTTCTAACCACACTGGACCAAGGATCTCTGCACTCTTTAGAATTAACTCCATGTTTGACTGGGTAGGGAATTTCCTTCTCTCTCTAGAAGATCTATCCGCTTTCCTTGGCCCTAATGGGAGTCTGCATCTAACTACCCACTTGTCCTTGCCAACTTTCCCCTACTTCTCTTTTCTGTGTTAAATATTGCTCTCAGCTAAGACTGAAATCAGACTGAATCCTCCTCAGCATCCAGTTCAGAAGTCTTTCTCTGCGCAGCTGATGCTAAGCAATCAGATCTTATGGAACAAGCTGTCAACCAAGGCTGTCTGGCACTGTGAAGAATTAACCCTTCTTTTAAAAGTGCAGTCTGTCACAAATGCGTAGACAGCATCTGCTCACAGTGTATGGCGGTAGTTAGAGGGGAATGATTTGGGGCCTTATATGATACAAAGTTCCTGTAATATGGGAGCAGCGCTCCCCTGGAAATTGTTTGCATGGTGATTGTACAAGTTGCGTGACTCTTTATTAAAGTTTCTGTAGGGTTGCTCCATGACTACATAGAGATTCTTGTGAGCGTGAAGGTTTGTGGCTTTGAATGAAAATGTAGTGCAGATATTTATCACAATGTGTGTCTGTTTCAGAGGACCCAGCACCCAACCCTGTTCCTGCCACTTCAAACGGAACAGGTAAGTCTCAGCTCAGCCATTTCCCCCCTCTACTGCGAAAACAGTGAAATCCTTCGCATCAGCAGCTTCCAAAGGCAAATATAAAGGGTGGTTTTTTGTTTGTTTTCTCCTCAACAGCTCAAGAGGAGATCAGACTTGTTGTGGGTCATGTTTTGGCACAAACCATCGGTTAACAAAGCAGGTGCAAACCCTAGGTAGAAATTTGGGGAGGGGGGGGTTGCACCAGATGTAATCCTAACAGTACCATCTTAAACAGATTTACACTCTTCTAATTCCATTGAAGTCAGTGGATTTAGAAGGGTATAACATTTCATATAACTTCAGCATTTAAGGTCCCACTTGTTTTGAAGGCCTGATGGTGCTGTGTGTACCAATATCCCCATGATTCTGCTGTATTGTGGGCCTTCCAGCACAATACAAATCCAGGAGGCACATGTGGCTGTCGACAGGGGTAGAAAGTTGATGTGCCAAAAGCCGAGAACGAAATGGAGACACCTGAGCATGGGAGGGAATGTGGGCACATCCTGTTCTTTCCCTTCCCTCCTTGGAGGCAAGGTGGGTGGGAAGGAACAAGCCAGGCTGTGCCAGAAGGAGAGCGCATTCTCCCGCTTTTTAGCACCAGCCAAGCTGCGGAACTTAATGTGACCAAAGGCACACCAAGGCAACATGGGAAGAGTTCCTCCACATATCCATAAAGGCTGTTGCCCAGTTCCATACATCTGGAATGAAGAGGCTAAGGACTGCAGAATAAGGGGATAGAATCCCGAGGAAGTAGAATGGACTGTGCCACTTGAAATGAGGAGGGAGAGTCAGTTTTAGTGCTCCCCCTCGCTTCGATTAAAAAGTTGCCTTCGGCTAAACAAATGACATCAGAGAGAGGAGTTGTAATATAGCCCTTTTCGTGTTGTGCAATTTCCACGGAACTTTTACTGTAAGGGGACTTCGAAAATTGTAATCATCCCTCATAGTACAGTCCATTCTGTCTGCCTCGGCGTTTTGCCACCTCCATTCTTCTGCATGTGGGAGACAGGCCTCACTCTGAATCCCCACAAGGCCCAAGAAGCAGTGACCCTCTATCTGGCAGCCCTTCGAAGCCACTCAGCAGTCTGCCTCTGTCATATTATTATACAAATGTGCCGAATCCAGCAAACTTAACAGAATTCCAACCTCCTCTCGGAGTCACAAGGCCTTCTAGAGCCACCCTTTGAACTACAAGCCGTGTTGAATGCACCTTCCTGGTACTGACACGCTGTACAACTTTTCATAACCCATCCACGTCTTGAACTCCCCTTTCCTGTGGCAGTTCACCACAGCATTCGCTCCCCTGCCCCTCTGCACCACATTTCCCCATGGGTCCTACACGCTCCGCACCCCAACCATCAGATAATATCCAGATGGAGATTACTAGAGTTATGAGAGCTGAGGACTCCAGAGCCCAGCCCGTAAGAAGAAGAAGAAGAAGAAGAAGAAGAAGAGATTGGATTTATACCCCGCCCTTCACTCGGAGTCTCAGAGCAGGCTTACAAACTCCTTTCCCTTCCCCTCCCCACAACAGACACCCTGTGAGGTGGGTGGGGCTGAGAGAACTCTGACACAAACTGCTCTTTTTCAAGGACAGCTGTGCCAGAGCTTGTGACTGACCCAAGGTCACATCAGCAGGTGCAAGTGGAGGAGTGGGGAATCAAACCCGGTTCTCCCAGATCAGAGTCCGCACACTTAACCACTACACTACACTAAGGCATACCAAGGTGATTGCCTAGGGCACCAGAGGTGGAGGGGCATCAGTGGACAGGACAGCCCTTTGCAGGGCAGGGCCAGCCATGCAACTGCATCAGGATTAGCCACAGCAACAAGTGGCGGCCCAGTAGCATAGCGCAGGGTGTACCCAGGCTGTAAAAGGAACAGGGGCTGGCTGTGTCTCCGAAGGCTGATCGAGGTGATGATAAAAACCCGCTGAGAATGAGCCCGCTTCACCAAGAAGCCTCGCCCCTCTCAGTGCTTGCGACTGTCTGCCTCAACTCCACCCCGCAATGTCATGCAGTGCTGCAAACACAGCCACTGCGGCGTGGGAGGAGCATGGTGCAACGACCCGCAGACCCACCCTCCAAAAAAGCGCACCACCCTGACCAAGAGGCAACACCATGAGCTGGCAACGGAGTTCTGGCACAAAAGGGTGGAGGTTAGGCAGGTAACTAACTTGGGGAGAGGGCTCACAGCAACCTCACCACAGCACCATGTCAGTTTGCCTGTGAAGGAGAAGGGGTCGTCGGAGCGGGGGTCCAGCAGAACCGGTTTCCTTCTATCCACACATGCCCAAAATGTGAGTGGTCAGTCAAGAAAAATTCCTGACTTCTGCTTCCACAACACTGCCTATACCTGTCTGCAGGGTAGAACTCTGGGCAGTGTTGTGCCGGCTGAAGCACTTGCGTGATGGCCAGGGCCTTCCCACATCACCCCCTGGAGTTGGTTGCATGGCAGTATGACAAGGCCCCACTGGTGGACCTCCTGATGGCACTGGTATTTCTGGCTACTGTGTGATACAGAGTGTTGGACTGGATGGGCCTTTGGCCTGATCCAGCATTGGCATGGGGTACCACTGCAGGCCCCAGTGAGGGCAGCTCAGAGTTGAATTGGGGCACCAAAACCAGTTTGCCTAGGGTGCCAAAAACCCTTGGGCTGGCACTGGAGGACTCTCCCCGCACCCTGCCAATGCCTTCAGTAATGCCAGTGGAGCTGTGACCCACATTTTGGGGAACCCTTAACTTTTTTCTGAGTTGATTAGATGCAAAACGTTTTGGCCTTACCACCACCACCTTTATTAGTGTCCTATCCATCCACTATTCAGTCTTTTCTTCGGTCAGGGTGGACCTAGAGACATTTAATATTGACGCCAATTTAGGATATTGTTCATGTTAAGACTTACAAATTGCTGTATTTCATTTAATTTACTGCTTATTTTAAAGTACATTGTATATTATATTTATTTGTTCATGGTTTTCACCACTCTCTCTAGTTTTTACTATTCAGCAGAAGTTCTGTTGCTCTTTTAAAATGCTGCATGCTTTCAAAAATAGGACTGCCTCTGTCTGTATCTTATGTCTGATCCAAACTGCTGGGGAAATCAACAGGAATCATCTCAGTGACTGAAGAATTTTTCATTTGGAGGGGATGTTGGTCCAGACATATAGCTGCAATTTGGATCTAGAACAAAGGCATGGAAGGCAGCAACATTCTTGGGTGTTTAATCATGGATTAATTATCTGCTTGGAAGGAACTGCAACTGGGCATTCCGCCACGTGCAAGTTTGAACAACATGCCAAGCAGATTATCATTTCTATGCATTTTGCAGGCAGGACACAGTTGCCTTTTCAAAAATCAAAAGCGTCCGGTGAAAAAGTCAGATCTCATTCGTTTTTATTTTTTGTCTTCTTTGTTTCAGATAATACAAGCACAACACGTGAGTTTCAGCTTTTAAATGCTTTTTTCCCACTCTGCTTCCATATGTGTATTGCTTTCTAAGACCGATTTAATTTTGCTGCTGTTAACTGTTTCATGTTAACTCAGGTGGTACATTAGTAGAATGCCAGCATTCATTAGGAATATTAAATTTCACCCCTATGTCAAATCTATATGCTTCTATTTTTATCTTAGGCAATCATGAGAGGGAGGGCAGGAAGGGTTGCATCAATACTTAGTTCTTGTGGCCCCTTCTTACACACCCAGGGAAATGCTGATCAAGAAGCAATTTTTCTCCTGGACAGTTTTGGTGGAGATCCTGGAGGTTGTGTTGTTGTTTTTTTGGTCATCTTCTGGGCATGGAACAGCGGTCACTGGGGTACAGGGAGAGGTATTTGTGAATTTCCTGCATTGTGCAGGGGTTTGGACTAGATGACCCTGGAGATCCCTTCCAACTCTATAATTCTGTTTCTGCCTATTCATCAATACAACTGTAACTGCTGTCTGAAACAGAAACTTTCTCATGCCTGTTTCTTGGGGGCGGATCTCATGAATGTGGCCATCTTCCCCCCACACTGTTGTTCTCAAGAGCATTTGCACTGGGAAGTGGTGCTTGAATTTACCGAGCTGCCAAGTCAGGACTTTATTCCGCCATGTGGAGAAGTTTCAAAACATCCAAATCGGCCCATGTAGATCTCACAATGTGACTCCTGGTGGGTTTAAACGTCTTTTTTTTTAAAAAAAAAAGGAACATGGTCTGCAAGTCAGGACTTTATTCCGCCATGTGGAGAACTTTCAAAACATCCAAATTGGCCCATGTAGATCTCACAATGGGTTTAAACATCTTTTTAAAAAGGAACATGATAAAAGGGGGGGGATGTCTGTGGTTTCACCATTCCTCTGTTTACAATGTACCAAGCTTAACTGTTACCCACCCTTTCCTTTTTTTTAAGGCTTAGTGCAAAAGGCAGCAGAGCTATGTGGCTGCAGGCTTTCTGTTTCTGTTTCCTCCTTTCTCCTCCTTTCTGCTGTATTGTTTAGCTCTGGTCGTGTGCTCTCTCATCTGAAGTGAGGAATGGCTTGGATAATTTCTGGGGGTGGAACAGCGGTCACTGGGGGTTTGGGGGGTATTTGTCAATATCTTGCACTGTGCAGGGGGTTGGACTAGATGACCCTGGAGGTTCCTTCTAACTCTATGATTCTATAAAAGAGGGGGGATGTCTGTGGTTTCACCATTCCTCTATTTACAATGTACCGAGCTTAACTGTTACCCACCCTTTCCTTTTTTTTAAGGCTTAGTGCAAAAGACAGCAGATCTGTGTGGCTTCAGGCTTTCAGTTTCCTTCTTTCTCCTCCTTTCTGATGTATTTATTAGCTCTGGTCACTACCACACAGTGAGGATTCCCTGTGTTGTTCTCATTGCTGGTGCAAATGCAGAGGCATTGACATTGGCAGAGGAACTTCCGCAAGAGACTTTTGTGCACT